GAGGAAGACGGCCACCCTCTTTCTCAATGGGGAGCAGCAAGACATACAGTTCACCTCTGTCAGGTGCTGCTGCTCCTGCTGCTGCTGCAGGCAAGTTGAGGAGTTAATGGAGATGATGCGTTCAGTATTTCAGGAGACAACAGCAGCAATAAGAAGAGAAGCAGCAGAAGCAGCACCGCTCTCTGCTGCTGTCTCCGCTCAAGACATAGACATGGGGGGGGGCCCCCCGGGGGCCCCCGAAGCCGGGGGGCCCCCCAAAACAAAAGGGGTACCATCAACACCCAAGGGGTCGAGAGAACAGAATAAAAACCACCAGCAGGGGGCCCCCGGGGGGCCCCCAGGGTCTCCTACAGCAGCCAGTAAACCTGTGCAAAGTGAGCTCGAGGGTTTAGGGTTTAGGGTTTAGGGTTTAGGGTTTAAGATGGTTTAGGGTTTACAAGGGTTTAGGGTTTAAGAGGGTTTAGGGTTTACAAGGGTTTAGGGTTTGTTGTGAAGCAGAAATGGATGCATCTGAATCCGACTGTAGCAGCAGCAAAAGCAGCAGCAGCAGCAGCAACAGGAGTAGCAGCAGCAACAGCAGCAGCAGCAGCAACAGCAGCAGCAGCAGCAGCAACAGCAGCAGCAGAAGCAGCGATATGAGTATACCTGCATGAGTTATATAAGCTGCAGCAGCACCTCCTTTTTTCCTCTTCTTCTGCTGCTGCTGCTGCTGCTGCTACTCCTGCCCCTGCTGCTGCTGCTGCTGCTGCTGGTGCTGCTGCTGCTGCTGCTGCTGCTGGTGCTGGTGCTGGGGTGTATGTACACAGAAGTAGGATACGAAGACCCCACAGTTGGTGGCTGCTCGCTGGGAACGGATCCCGACCAGTCCGAGATTTCTACTATCGATAAATTTAATGAAATTAAAACACACACAGCCAGCCAGTGAGGGTTTAGGGTTTAGGGTTTAGGGTTTAGGGTTTAGGGTTTAGGGTTTAGGGTTTATGGTGCAGGGGGAGTGAAGAAGCATACAAGGGTTTAGGGTTTGGGGGTTTATATAATACACTAAACTGACGGCGACAGACCAAG